CAGGCGGTGATAGAGCCTTGACATCAGCAGGCCTTATGATGTCATTAGCAAGAAGAAAGTGAACGGTAGAGCTGTTCAGAATGGAGGCGTTCGCACCACTATCCACGAGTCCCTGGATAGGACAATAAGTCTTTGGAGCATCATGACCAGCGACAAGGTTCACCACCGGATCAGCAGGGAGTGAACCGACGATATCATGAAGTGCTGTACGAGATGAAGCACAGGCGACACTGCTGTGGATGATCTTTAGCTCAGAGCCGTCAGAGATCTCCGTTGCAACAGTGGACATATTGGCTTGAGTAGTGGATGTCATACTGTCATTGTTGATAACCTTTCGGCAGACACCACTCAAATGACCATTGCGCTTGCATCTACCGCACTTGAAACTCTTGGATTGGCACTTGTGCTCGCCACCAGTACGGAGTCGGCCACACCTGTCACAACGCTCCTTCTGCTTGAAGATTTGAGTATGACGACATGAGTTGGCCTGATGTGAAGGCAACCCGCAGCGTAGGCAGTTATCAGGCGGTATACCAAGCTCTTTGGTAGCTAGTGCACAGATGGAGATGATCTGAGAATGATCGACCTTCTTGAGGCCACCTTTACCCGAACCTTGAGACCGTGACTGACCAGGCACCATTGCCGTTAGATCATCGGACAGGGGTGGTCTGCTATCATCTTAAGGGTTACAACCTACTGTCCGTTCAACAACGATAACTGTGAGGCCACTCAGTCGTCGCTACGTTGCCGGATCCCAAACCTTCAAGAGTTCTTCCCTGATGTCAACCTGGCACTGCATGCTTTACCTCTCCGACTCGTTGGTGGAAAATGGTCACCTCGTACGGCTACATCTCGCAGCTCTACCTGGAAGGAGCGAGCCGCTATTCTCCTGGCCATCGATGAATGTATCGGTCTGCTCGAGGGACGAGTCGTGGTCATTGTCGACAACCAAAATGTCCAGAAAGAGTGGCGCAGTTTCGCCAACGACTTCACTGGTCCCTTCCTACACCGTTGGGAGCAATTCCTTCGAGTCGTACATGATGTCCGCTGGTCTCCACGAGATACCTCTCCGGTATGGCCCGATGCCCTTGCACGAGCCATCTCTGATTATGGGGAGGAGAGAGAGGTCTACGATGAGCTCATTGACTCTGCTGATATGCGACTGCACGTTGTCGACGCCACGGAAGACAC